TTATACGGTGCGGCTATGGTCTACGGTATCTGGTAGCTGTGTAGCTATTTTATACTTTCCCGGAAAGGTTATTAGTCTTGATTGGAAGAATACAAAAGCAGGTGACCTTTTATTAACGGGTGGTTGGGATAATGTTATTCGTTTGTGGCATGTAAAAAGAATAGATGAGCAAACATCGCAAGTCGATTTATATTGGACTTCACGTCAAAATATATTGTGGATCTCTAAAGCATATATTCAAAACGTGAAAGGTTTGGATTCAATGAATATTCGCCTTTTAAAGCAAAAAGGTGCCACTGAAAACTTCGAAGTTTACTTTAACGAAAATGATCAAGCTTAAGTCGAAATTATTAGCAATATCTATAATAAATAAACAAGCATTTACAATTATATTATTTTTTAAATGCTATCACGAACTCGAACAGGTAATCACGTAATTTCTATCGGTTATAAAGTACACATGACCACGTCCAGTACGGGTTAATGCATTATTAAATTACATCATAAAAAATACCATTTAATTTTTTTTTATGGTTCTCACTCCCTAAATTTTATACATAAAATAACGTGAATCAAACGAACAAATTTTTTTACAGGCGGAAAGTCTAACATTTTATTTTATTCGGGGGTTTTAAAGCTCAGCGGGAAGGGGAGGGAAGGATATTTTATAGTAGCCAACTAGAAGTAAAATTAATAAACCATAAAAAATCAATATTATCTTAAATTATGATAGGCCCTATCATAGAAAAAGGGTAGGGTTGGTTCTGGAAACTCGTTAGTTCGTGTATAATTTTATTTTTACACCCTTATACAGTATTTGTAATTGATTCACGTGATACATTTGTGTATTGTACGTTTCGTTTTCAAAAATTCACGTGATATATTTGTGTATTGTACGTTTCGTTTTCAAAAACTGATCGAGCTACTGTATAGAGAACATTTTGGTATTAAAAGATTTAGGGATCGTTTTTCATTCCCGTTCCAAGTGATTTTCACCTTGCACTTCAACACATGGCTTTATCTATGATATCACTTTTGCAGGTTTTTTTAAATATTTTTTTGACTTATAAGTGCTATACAGTACACTTTTTTATCATGCCATTTACAATACGGAGGGCCAGAATAAACAAGAATCGCTAATTTGTTTGAGAATCTGGCGTCTTCACAATTTGAAGATGTCCCCTACAACTACAGCTACATAAATTTAAACTAAGTAGACGTTAGTTTTGTGTAACAATACGTTTGCATCTAAGTTATATCAAACATTCTTTTTTCATAATTGCGCAGCAGTCTGCAAAAAATTCATTTGTTAGTGTTCATTTTTTTTGATAAATTTCTATTGTACCTTTTATTAATATTTAAAAAAACATTTTTTTAATTAAATATATATAACCATATCCTTTATTATTCAATTCATACATTATTCATTACAAAAAAAGTCTTATTACTTTAATATTATATGATACTGTTTCACAACTATCTAATAATAAATTAGAACAATTATATAATTATTTTTTCAATTACTCTTATATTGAAAAATCTTTTTTTCATATTCATAAAATATATTAAAAGCAGAACAAATACTTCTACTTAATAATATTAAAACTATGCATAATTTTGTTTCTACAAAATATAAATTTGGTATTTTATTATTAATTACTTGTTATATAGTGAAACTAAATTAAAAAATTGTGATTTTAATTTTAACAATAAGTAATTTAATACTACTCTTAAAAAAATTAATAATTAGATATTTAATTTATCTAATTATACAAGATATATTTTACCTTTTAAATTTAAAAACAATCAAGAAACTTTTAAAATTATTATTAAGTTTCTTTTACAAAATTCATATTTATTAATATTTGTTTGTTCTTCTATTAAATTATTATATTTATTGAAAAATATTGCTATCAATTATAATTTATCCATTATTTATCATTTAAAAAAATCCAAAAACACAATTTATTTTAAATTAAAAGCTTAAATAAATTTTATAAACTTTATTTTCAAAATTTTAACAAAATACAAAAAATAATAAATATATATTCAATTTGTATTAAAAAAAAAAATTTAAAATTAAATTATAACAAATTAATTTAAATAATAGAAAAAAAATTATTATTATTAATAGATTACAAACTGAAATTAATTTTTATAAACAATATTTTTATTTTAAAACTTAATAACAAGAATTTTATAAAAATTCTATTAAATTAAGGGAACTGCTATTCACACCATAGATTTTGCTATTTGCACCATGCACCCTCGATTATATCACAATAAAAATAGAATGTCGGGTCATATGATTTCTGATCTCATCGATGTCAGATCATATGATTTTTAAAAAAAGAAACCAATCACGAAAAATTAATGTTTGTTTTTGAAAAACAGCTTGCAAAATTTTTCATATGAAACTATTAATTATCGTGCTGCAAATATAGGTTTTTACAAGGCAATTGACTCTACACACTTTTTCTAACTACTACTCTACTTCTATTTATATTCGCCACGACGCATTCACTAATCTAACGTCGCGTTCCCCACAAATCTAAACTTTCTCCACATTGATGCATTGATTGATACATCGCACAATATCACGTGACCCGCACCGATCCCGTCCCTATACCTGATCCTACTGTCAAGCCTATCTTGTATACTCCATAAACAAACTCCCAACCCAACCCTCCGGTTCACGGTTTCTGGTGCATGTCGGATCCTCCAAGCGGCAGTTAAGTTAAGGGTGATTTGTGGCAATTGTTCAAGATCGTTGCATCTCCTTGCATCATTTCCGTCATTACTGTCAATGCTAAGCCGATATTTTGTTCGATCCAGGTCTTCAATGTTGAATTCCTTATGGTAAGTATCGTCATATATTGCCTTCATCAATGCTAGCGTATGTGCAATGCTAGTTGTAGTGGTTTCGCAGTTCCACTTCAGGTTATTCATCTCTGAACTTCCGTATCACATCACGTGATACATTGGAACCTTGGAACACTTCCACAAGTTGCTTGACTCACCATGCATTTTCCCTTGGCTGCTCTATTCTGGTTGTATCATAAACCATTGGATCCATTCTTCTGGTTGGGTAATGATATTCCATTTAAACTTCGTGGTGGGGGTACTCAGGTAATATGTCATAACCTTTTCCTTAATCTTCCGCCAGCATAGACTCGTTGGTCATTGATGCATTATGGGTAGGTTGCAACATATAACTGTTGTATCCTTCAATGCACATGAGTGTTCTGTTCCTGTGATCATCAGCCATCCGTCTCTCAACTTCTTTGTGCCGTCTCTGATTTTCAGATCGATCGTGGCTTCATGATTGATTTTGATGATGCATCGCACTCCCTTGACACACTCAGATCTTTGGACGGTCCTCTTGGTCGCATTTATATGCTCGACCAGGAGTTCTTTTACTGGATTGTTTATCCAAACTGTCTGCATAACTGTCATTATAGTGCGGAGCGCCAATTTTGTGAAATTTTCAGAGCACATCACTACTAGCTTCTTTTTAAGCTTTTGGCAAAGTGTGTCCATCAGATGTCTCCACGATGCTGTAATGGTATGCAGCCTGAATGTCTCATCTCTCAGTGCATGCGTCCCCCAGGTAATTATCATTTCCATCGTCTTGATCTCTCCTTTCATGTCTTGATCGCCCTGATGTATGTTGTGCTTGGCTAGGGTATCATCGTTGGCGTCAGCGGTACGTTGCATTACCTGGGAACATCTTCCCTTCAATATTGTATTTCCAGGCACTCCCAACACTCTCTCAATTCTTATTATTTGTTTGCCCTCCAGGTTCTCAGTCGATCTCGTATCTCTTTACCTTTTCCTTCGGTCCCATTTTCATCATATAATCTTGACGGTTCGTTCATTGACATGATCTTCCGTTCTTTTATTGGTTCACATCGCTCTTCACTTCGTCCTCACCCTTCTCCTCAGTTTCGTTGATCTTGCCAAAACCCTCTTCGGTCACCATCAACGTCTCTTCCGTTTGGAAGGAATACGCTGCAAGGCCTGAAGTCTCCAGTCATGTGTCACTATCGGAGTTGGGGTTATTACTCATTTCCTTTATCACCTCATCTTCGAAAGATCTCAACCGTATTCCCTCATCTTCACCATCCTTTTCTTTATTGCTCCACCTTTCATTCCACCAAGTGTTTCCGTCGGATCCCTTATTAGCAATCTCGTCAGCTGGTGCCTTCTTGGTCTCATCATTCGAGATCGGGATCTTCACAGAATATCCCTTGACGGTTTCCTGGATTCATATCGTCCGATTGCGGTTTTCTTTTATTTATCCTTATCGGTATAATAATATTTTGTTCCTTTGTTGGCATTTCTTCCTCTTGCTTGTATGTTATATCTCTTTTTTCTTTCTTGCACTACCAATTTACTTAACAGCTCTTCCACACGATATAGATAGGTAAAGATCTGTCTCTATGATACTAAAAAGAAAGAAATAGTGTAAAAGTTAATAATGATAATAATATATAAAGATATGGTGAAACAATACTAATGATAATACTCATCGAGTAGTAAAATAAGCTTGATCATGTAACCTGATAACTTAGGTCTGATGTATATTTTTTGTGATTAATAATTGATTAGTAGTAATAATATAAAGTATTTTGTCGTCAATGATTTTTAAAACCATATCTTTGCTCCCACCTTTAACTGGCTACTTCGCAAGCCACGAAGCTCTCATTCAACATGTTAAAACACATGCATTCAGTCATGGATATGCAGTATGCATAAAAAAATCTGAGCAGGATAAGTTCGTATATTTACGTTGTAATAGGGGTGGTACTTACAAAAATTCTTTAAATCTTACAGATAATACTCGCCAGAGAGCTACAAGTTCATGATTAATAAATTGTCCATTTGAACTCTATGGCAAAAAAAAAGATAATTAGTGATACTTAGCAATAAAAAATGCCAATCATAACCATAAAGCATCAAAAGACATATCTGAGCATCCATCAAGTCATCGATTGAATATGGAAGATCAACATAAAATTCGACAAATGTCTGCAGCAGGCATCCATCCTCGGGAAATGCTTTCAACTCTTCACCAAAGCAACCCAAATCTTACAGCTATTTCAAAAACTATTTACAATGTTCGAGATAAGATTCGACGTGATAATCTTCAGGGTCGCACTTCAATTCAGGCTCTTCTTGATAAGCTTAAAGAAGGAAGCTTTGAGTATGACTTTCAATGCAGTGAAAATGGTCATTTGACCCACCTCTTTTTTGCATATCCTATATCAATCGTACTTATTAAAACTTATAGCTCTGTTCTTTTGATGGATTGTACTTACAAAACTAATAAGTTTATAATGCCACTCCTTCATATTATTGGTATGACGAGTTTCAATATTACATTTTCTTCTTGTTTTGCTTTTCTAAAATCGGAACAAGAAGAAGATTATGAATGGGCTCTCATTTGTGTTGCTTGTATTTTTAAGGAGATTTCAAAGCCTCAGGTTATTATAAGTAATCGAGATCAGGCATTAATGCATGCTATACAAACTATATTTCCTGAATCACAAAACTTTTTATATGTCTGGCATATTGAAAAAAACATATTGACCAATTGTCGTAATTAGTTCCCTACGGACGAAAAATGGATTGAATTTTTGGGCAACTGGATTACTGTAATAAAATCTAAAACAGAGGAAGATTTTAATAAAAAATGGGAAGAATTGGCGAAAAAATATAATAAGAATCCATCAATTGTTAAATATCTGCAGGACATATGGTTACCATTAAAAAAACATTTTGTGAGTCTTTGGATAGATCGTTACTTGCATTTGGGTAATGTAACTATATCACGGGTAGAAGGATCCCACGCAATGCTAAAAAAGTATCTTCAAGTATTGACAGGTGATCTTCATGTTATTCATGAAAGAATCTCTTTAGCATTGGAAAATCAACACCAGAAAATTCAAACTATGATTTCTCAAGAGATGATTCGAATTTCTCATGCTTAAGCTAAGCTATTATACTCACAGGTCATTACTAAAGTTTCTATATTCGCATTGAAAAAAGTGCATGAGCAATTATTAAAAGTATCTTATACGACTTTAGAAAACCCATTACAACCTTGTAATGGTACCTTTACATCATTAATAGGTCTTCCTTGTACCCACAAAATTCAGGAACGTCTTATTAATAATCAATATCTGCAACTTACCGATTTTCATCAACATTGGTGGCTTCAAGAATGTCAATTGCTTCCACAAATACCAAATAAAACTGAAGATCATTTATGACAACGGTGGCAAGAATATGAGCAGATATTTGATACTTGGCCAATTAATCAACAATTAGCAGCTCTAGATAAAATGTCAAATTTATTTGAAGAGCCAGCTATAGTAATTCAAAATCCACAGATGCAACAAACAAGGGGATGTCCAATTGGAGCAAGAAATAGAATTCGATCATCTATACAAAGAGATCTATTCGCCTTTGAATTTGTTAAATCAGAAAAACGTAACAAGAAATGTGGTTTATGTCAAAGAATTGGATACAATAGTAGAACATGTTCTAGTAATGGAAAATAAAAAAAGATATCAAAATTCGTATATAGCTAAAGTTGTAATTAGTCTTAATTAATTCTAAAGGAATTACTAGTTTTCAAGATAAATTTTTTATTATGAATTATATTTACAGTAATTTTTACTTATTGAAAATAACGAAAAAACTTTCTAGAATTTAAAATTTCTTGAAATATATAGTAGTATTGGAATCATGATTACGGAACCGGCCTGGTTCTACTGGTCTTAACAAAATTGTTACTTTTTTAATAGATTTTTTTAGAGTTATTAATAAAATCTATTTACAATTATTTTTAAGAAGTATTACTTATTAGAAGTAGAACTTCTAAAATTAATAAATTTTAAAAATTATTATTTTCGATTGTCAGACCCTATATGCATAACATGGGATATAAAATCATGTGATATGTAATATAATCGAATGTGCATGGTGCAAATAGCAAAATCTATGGTGCGAATAGCAGTTCCCTATTTATATTGTATTATTGTATTTTTAATTATAAAAAATTAATAAATATTTTTGATTTATATTTATTTTAATTACATAAAAGTAAAAAAAAAATTAATAAATAATTAAAAGATTTAAATTTAAAAAGATTTATATGCCATATGTCTACTTTTATATTTTATATACAGTATTTAAACTTAAACTATATTTTTTATTATAAAAATTTAGTCAATAAAGAATATTATTCAGGTAAGAAAAAAAATATAGTTTATTATATTGTATATACAGTATGTTAAACAAAAATTTTTTTTATAATTGAAATTTTTGCAATAATTAAATAAGTATTTATTTAAAAAAATTAAAAAATTATTATATTAATATTAATATTTTCTTAAAAAAATTATTTAATTTATTAAATTATTTTTTTATTTTACTTTTTAAAATCTTTTATTCAAAAAGTAAAGACTATATAAATAAATATGTATATAATTCTTTTTTTTAAACAGCAATTAAATAGAAACTAAAAAGTACAATATATTTAAATTTATTATTAATTTTCTTAATTTTTGCTAAATTACAAATAAAAATATAATTGTTATTTTTTTTGCAACATATTGTATTTGTTAAAATATGTTTTTTGAAAAATTTATTTATTCACATTTATAAAACTCCATAAGTTGTTATAACATATTGCCTATCTAATTTATTTTAATAAAAAACCTGTTAAATATTCATATTTGAATTCAGTTTACCTTAAACTTTTTTTAAATACAACCATATAGCTTTTTCTATATGTACAAATATAATTCCAACACTTGATTTAAGCTACACTACTTGTCAGAGCTTGTAAAAAAACCCTATTTTTGGTGCCTTACCTGTTCCGATTTAATCCACACCAAATATTATCATTTGCACGGGGTCTACGCCCTTATCTTGTCAGAAATAAATGGCTTCGGTTTCAAGCGTTTATGGATAATTTTAATAATTTTGAAATTTCACAAAAAATAATCAAAAAATTCATATTATATATAATACGTCAGAATAAAATAAATAATTTTTATTTCTCTATATTGTTGATACTAAATATTTTGCGTGAGAATCTTTTTAAAAATATAAAAATCTAATTTTTTTTCAAGAATACCTCTTGTTCAAATTCACGTTTTTTCATAACTCCCATGATCACCACTTATTTAAATTTTACTTCCGATGAGGTTATTGAGTTCAAAAAATTTTTCATTATTAGGATCCCACATATGTTCCTCCACGTATTCGACCAACGACTCCCACTTCTTTCCTCGACGGGTTTTCAACTCTCCACAATCACGCTTCACCATCGAGACCACCTCAGGGTTACGTGCTAATCCTTCATCGACAGCTTCCACAATTACTGCGGCAGCAACTTCAGCGCTTACGTGGCGAATTCGTTGCACCACGGGGTACATGAGGTCCTGAGAGACTTCCTCTTCGGTCAATGCGGTAGCGAGTGCGGAAGAAGACGCATATATTTGACGATCAGTAATTATCGCCGGACGGGCGAGGATGGCACCTAGACCTAGACCTGGACTATTTTACAAGATAACTCTTTAGTTTAAATAAATAATCATGTTTACTTCTACGTTTACTTATACTCACAAGATATACATGTTGTTTCCTTGTCCCGGATATCGTATCCTTCCCGAGTCTGGTTCCACATAATGCGGGAATGCAGTACCAGAAGCAAATATCACACGATTATTTGTCAACCTCATTGCATCCTCATAGGTACATTCTGCGTTCACCATGGGATTCGAAAGCGGAAATATGATAGGATTTTTGTTTAATTCACCCATCCGTTTTATCACTTGTTCGTTGAATACCCCGCCGGTAGATGATAGACCTATCAATGCAGTGGGTTTTACATATTCGATAACATCATATAGGGTTTTGTATTGTCGACCTTCATTGTCGGAGCGGGCAAAGTACACCTTGTGATCTGCCAATTTGTCGCCTCGATCCCGTGTTACGAGACCCTATAAAATTCGAGCAACATTAGTTGATTGAGAAATGGTACTCCGATCACACTAAAAATAATGAACTTTTCTATTGATACCTTGGTGTCCACCAACCATACTAATTTCTTTGCTTCTTCTTCCGACATTCCGTGCTCTATCTTAAAGAATTCCAACAATTGCCTGGCCACGCCAACTGCAGCGGAACCAGCACCGAAGAATAATAATCGATGCTGCGTGGGTGGAACATCTTTTTCCACCAATCGTACGGCGTTAATGAAGCCAGACAAAATAACAGCACCTGTACCCTGAATATCGTCATTAAAACAGAATGTGTTTTCTCGATATTTGCTTAAAAGACTGAATGCCTATTTAAGAGGTAAGGAAAAACAAAAAGTTATTTTTATTTATTTTTTTGCCAAAGATGATTATTTAGTTCAAGAGAACTCACATGCTCTGAGGAAAAATCTTCGAATTGAATTAGGATATCAGGATAAACTTCGGTCAAAGATTTTATCACAGCGTCAACAAAAGAATAAAACTATTAATCAAATTTAAAAATGTGTCACGTGTTATTAAAAAAAAAAAAAAAGCAACCAATAAAACGCAAAAATAACAAACCTCATCATCATTGGCCCTCTTCTTGCGCAATCCTAGGTAGAATTCGTCATTCAAGTTTTTCTCGTTATTAGTTCCCAGATCAAGTGTGATCGGCAGTGTACGTCGTGGATCTATTCCTGCTCCAGCAACATAGAGTTGCAACTTTCCTATCGGAATACCCATACCATTAACACCCAAGTCTCCCAATCCCAAAATTCTCGATCCATCGGTAATCACGGTGATTTGCGGGGTGAGAGAACTGTCGAAGGGATATGGTCTGTAGTTTTTAATTATTTGAGTGAGATTGGGTTTATCATCAATAGAAAGATAAAGGCCATCAGGAACACCAGGTGGAGCAAGGAACGGATAGATGTGAGAGTATTCTAAACATGCTGTGCCAACAGTTGGTGTGTATATCAATGGCGTAACTTCCTATTGATCATAAGGTAGATTCCATGTTTATAAAGCCGAATGGTCAAGATTAAGAGATATACAGATCATTTAAATTTTGTCTTAAATACCTCCAGTTCATCAATGACAATTCGGTAAAACAATCGGATATTGGTATTTCGTAGCCAAGCCAAGAACATATATTTCTCCAAGTCGGTAGATTTTGAACGTAATTGTTGCATTGCAAGCCGTTTCTGCTGATCAAGCGATTCGACAGCCGCTGGAAGATGACCAGAAACTTTGAGCGATTTACGCACGGAATGAGACGCAGCAGTTCCTGAATTCGAAAAGCGAATCATAACGAAAGTGTCAGATATTTTTTATCATAATCAATCTATTATCTTATTCAATCATTATTTTCGATATCAGTCAACAATTTTTAAAAATTATAAATGATTACCTTGGTTAAGATAGGGTGATCTAGCAACACTTTCAAGTATAGAGCTAGTGTGTTTACCGTTGGTATACATGTTCGGCATTACGACTTTAGGGTTGTAATAATTTCTTGAAGCTGATTTTTTTTTTTTTTTTTTAAAAAAAAAATGAAATTGTTTTTGGTTGGGAGAGGGTCAATGTTTAAAGGAATTTATAGTGCTGAGAGGATCGATTGTGTTACAAAGATCTCTGATTCACCCAAAAAAGCACAAATATTGAAATCTCGATTTCTTTGCATAATGTATGATGGACCGTATGTACATATAATTCTACAAATCCTAAATTCGTTAGTATACATTAGTAATTATAATGCGAGCAATCTTTCAAGCGTAGTTCTAGCAAGGAACTAGTGGTTTGTTTTATCTCTATCATAACCTCCCAAAGATCTTAAAGGATCAGAATTAATTAATTCACAATGCGTCAAGAAGCTCCTTGTCATTATGACACACGATCGTGCACCAATCTAATTTAGAATGTGAAACCACGTAAGTTATCGTATGAGAAAAAAACAAGATGATCAAACCATTGTGTTTAAGTTCAATCAATTATGGAGTAAAAGGCGTTTTATAGTATGATCTGTGGTTTCACGATGACCCAGTGGTTTTAAAAAAATGTGTTACTTTCAAGATCGACAATAGAAATGTATTACTTACATAAACCGGCAAGTCCATACATAGTTATGATCTTGATCTTGTGTTTTTTTTAAAAAAAAAATACAAATTGTTTTCGAAAAAAAAGATTAAAAAAATTTTTTTTTACAATGGTCACTTGTTAAACAATTTAATTTATTAAACTTTATTAATTTAAGGGATATAGAATAATAATTACGACAATTGTTTTTAAAATGATTAAATACAGTGTGGTCAGGAATAATTGAAAATCATTTTTTATTTATAATTTAATAATTAATTTTTAAATTATGTATATAGAATTTGTAAATATATCTTTGACATATCATAATTAAGTTTAAAGAATTATTTTTATCAAAGTTCATTAATATAAATTTTAATTTTAATTTAAAATCAAGAAAAAAAAATTTTTTTGTTTTTTTTTATTTTTTAAAATTTATAGTATTAATTATATTTGTTTAAAAAATTTTTGATTTATAATATAATTTTTAATTATTTATTATATATCACTTAATAATTCTATTATAATATAGTTTTTAAAAAATATTTAATAAAAAATTTTAAATCAAAATAATTTATTATAATTTTTAATAATTAAATTTTTTTTAAATTTTAATAATTTTTAAAATAAAATTTAAATAAAATCCAAATTTTTAAATTTTTTTTTTTAATAATTTTTTAACTTAAAATTTTTAATAAATTTTTTAAAAATTATATGTTAAAATTAGAACTCTAAAAAATATCGAATTAATATTAAAATAATATTATTAAAAGTTTGTTAAAATTTAAATCTTTTTATATTATTAATAAAAAAATTTAATATATTTTGATAAAATTAGAGTTTTGAATCAATACTAAAATAATATTAATTTATAGTAAATTTAATATATAATTTATGATTTATTATATTAAACTCATAATAAATTCAATATTGATTTAATATTAAAATAATATTATTAAAAATTTTAGATAAAATAATTATCAAAAAACCAATTTTAAAATTTTAAATTGTTTAATTCAAAAAAAACTTTAATTTAAAATTTAATTTTTTAATAATTATTTTATTTATTTATTTATTTATATTTTTAAATATTAGCTTATTATCTTACTTTATTAATATATTTTTTTTGATCAACTAATGAGGCCTTGCCTAATATACTTTATTTAGTTTACATGTGTATTTCTTGTTACAAGACTTACTATCTATAAACTATTCTAGATACATGTTTTGTTATATCAATTTAACTCTATATAGGCTTGTTGCTATTAACTTATCTTATAGTATGTGTCAAGACTAACATGCCAAGGCTCCGTTAATATTGTTATTATATGAATAATAATAAAAATTGAAATTAATTATATTTTTTCCCCAGTCTAACCAGTTCTCTATAAGTTTTTCTTGTAATCTTCTTGCTTTTTCTATTCTTTCGAATAAAGATATGTGCTACCTTGTATCTGTAGCTTGAGTATCAGTTTGAAGTCTTCATTTCTTCTTCTTTTTTTTCCTTCTGTTTATGTTTTCATCTTTTTTCCATTACTAAAATCTTTTACATTTGTAAGTTCAAAGTTTTCAGAGTTTCTCTGTTATTTTGTTTATGACTATTCTTAATATATATTTAATTTTTTTTCTGTTGATTTGTCCTATTAGTTCAATTAAGTCCTTTTTATAGATTCTTTTGATTATATACTTAATAATTCTTTTTAAATCATTAATAATAGTTTCAAGTTGTTTTCTCCAATTTATTCTTTCTTTTTATGTTTCCATTCTGCTTGCTATTTTTTCTTTAAGTATTTACAGGTATATAGTTCTAATCTCGTCCTTGTAATATTCATTGAACAGATATTTTGTAGTTTCCCATCTATTGCACCAAGGGCATATTTTGTCTTTATATATGTCTGGACTTCTCTCATTTAACTTGTCTTTAGTAAAAAGCTTTTCATTAAGCAGTTTGTATCTGAACTCTCTATTATTATGATCTTGTTGATTGGTATAGAAGCTTGTAATCTTTAATAATAATAGGCTTGTATCTGAACTCTCTATTATTATAATCTTATTAATTGATATAGAAGCTTGTAATCTTTAATAATGACAGGCTTGTCCATGTTCTTCTTCAATTTATCATTTTCTTATTACCTGTACTTAGCTATACTTTATGTCTTCTTTATGTCATCCATATACTGACCCATTTGCTGTTTTTCCATTGCTTCATAAATCCATTAGTTCCTATATCCAGGTTTTTATCATTCCATTGTAATGTTCCTCTTATTCCATTTATGTATTAACAGTTTATACCTATAATATATATATAGTTTAACTCATTGCCTTCTTTTGTCAACTGGTTTACGCAGTCATTGTATTTTTCTTCCATATGTGCTTTAATCTTTTTTAGTATTGTTGTTGCTATTTTGTTTCTAATTTTCTCTTAAATAAGAGTTATTGTAAATATATTTGTTCCTTTTACTACTCTTTATTTTATTATAATATTTGATTATATTGCCTCAATTGTACACTGGCTGTCTGTAAATATAGTTGCTTCTGTTTTCAAATTAAAAAGAGTTATTGCTATGAGAATTGCCATTAACTCTGCTCTTTTTAATAATAGGAATTCTTTATATCTGCCTTTGAATTTTATTTTTTCAAGTGTTTCCCTGTTGATAATTATATCTCCTACTTTCATTTTTACCTGATTGTTATTATATTTATCCATGGATCTGCCTGTGTATACTTCTGTGAGTTCAAACCTTGTATTTGTTCCTGAATGTATTCTAGTTCTTGTTGGATTGAACTCTGTGATTTTAGTATTTTAGATTCAATATGTTTATTGTTAATTTGTTACTGTTGTTAATTTCTATATGGATTTTATTCTTCTCTTTTGATATTGAATTAATTCACTTGTGCATCTGCCTGATTAAGTTTGGTGAGATTTGTATTTATGAAAGGTTTTTATTATCTGGTTAAAAGGTTTTAAACTAATTTTTATTATTTTAACTAGAAGTATTATCATCTCTTTTAATTGTATTCTTCTGATGCATGTATTTGTTTTTCTTCTGTGTTCATGTTGTATTCTTTGCATTTTTCAATTGGTTAGTCATCTGCTATTTGTGTGAAATGCTGTGCTTTAAATATATTTTCCAGGACCTTGGCCCATTTATTTATCTTTCCTATATATATGCTTTGATTAATAATTACAGAGATGTATTTGTGTTTTCAAATATTCTTTGGATTTGCCAGGTCACAGATGGCAAATATGTTAATTGATATCCTGGGAAAAAAGATTTTGTTTTCTTGTTATTGGATAATCTCTTCAAATCAGTTGGATTTGCGTCCTATATATTTTGTTCCTATCTTGGTTTTGAAGTGTAATTATATAATATAATATAAGTTAATAGTATTTATTATTTGTTCTAGGTAAAAGAGATTGTATTTTCTCAGGTTGGCCCATATCTTTTATTAATTTATATGCTCATAGTGCCTACTATTATTCAGCAGTACATTGTTTTTTATACACTTCTATGATACACCTTAAGTTACATATATTAACAAATATTATACATACAATATATGTTTATAATAGATTTAACTATATATGTGTAGTTATATATTTATACTACATAATGTTATATATAAATACTACCTAAACTGGAATGGTTTACCAGGCCATTCATCTCAGAAAAATGTATGATTCCTTTTTAATTATTCCCAGGACAATTTTATTTATAGTAAGAATAACCTGGTTATTAGACTATCGAATTTAATATTCTGAACCCTGGGTTTTGGTTCTTCAGAGTGGTCCACAGATTTTTTCTTTTATCAAGGCCTTCTGATAGTAAAGTCTGTGAAAGCAGGCACAATCACATGCTTGAAAATCAACAGATCTACTAGCAGTTTTGATTTGTTCTTATCGGGTCATATAAATCTCTTCTGATTATCAGAGGCATGCTACTAGTTTGGGATTTACTCTTCTTATTATTTTTTTGATAATACAGTCATGACAGGGATGATCCTATCCAATCTCAAACATTCGATCAGATTACAATTTTCATATAAATCAGTAACTATACTCAAAAATATTAGTTGTTTTTGGTTAAGCCAATGGATGCAAATTTTATCTGTTTGAATTAATTAGAGATTTCACGTTATCCCCTGAAGGATTTGAACCTGTATCTTGTAATCTGACCTGTGGAGCACTAACCACTGTGCTATGGACTATACATGTAATAGAAATTGATTTATTGGTAGCACAATTATCTAAAATTTTTATAATAACACAATTAATGTGACGCATAACACAATTATAATGCAATTATACAATTTTGATACAATTAAATGCATATGGCACAATTCCATGATTTTGGCAATTTTGAATTGACACAATTATATTGGAGTAACATAATGATGGTACAATTATCTAATT